TATGGGTCGAGCGACGACGTCCGTTTGTCTGTTTCTTGCTTGGAAAGTGGCCGACGCGCTCGATCAAAACGACCCAACGCTGCCAACCAAGTCGGGCGTCAAGACGTGGGTCGACGTCGAGACTCCGGACGAGTTTCACACAATGACGAGTTCTCGGGGCGATCCGTGGGACTTGGTCATGAGCGACGAGTTCAACTTGGCCGGCCGCAACTTTACGGCCGGCCATGACCATCTCTGGGTCGCCCTCGACATTCCCGATGGCGTCAACCGCGCTGTGGGCGTCTACACCCCCGAGAATGCGCTCACGGTCAATGGCAAGTTTCAGATCCGCGTCGACGCGACTGAGACCAACGTCACGTACTACAACGTGTGGTCAGATGCACCGTCATGGACGACCAAGACAATGGTACATATTGTCTACATAGTGTTGGTGCATGCAACTAACCTGTCGACTAGTACTATCGCGCGGCCATGATGCAAACGTGGAACAAGTTTTGTATCCAAGGCGGGTTTGTCGAGATTTCAGCCAAGATGCCTGGTGCGACCCGTGCGTCGATGAACCCCCATATCACGGGGAAGCGCTGGGACGGCAACCTCCAACGCGATATGCCCGTGCAGTTCCTCGACCGCATCCCCGATATCAAGTTTTACCCGACGTGGCCGGGTCTCTGGATGATGGGCAACCTCGGTCGCGCGCTCTTTGCGGCATCGACCAACCGCATGTGGCCATGGACCTACAGCGAGTGCGACGAGCGCTACGATTCGTCTCAGCGCATTAGCGCCTGCAACCCCAACCCCGGCTACGGCTTGCACCCGAACATGGGCCGCGGGTCCCCCGAGATCGACATTCTCGAAGGCGGCGGCAGTGACATCTCGTCGTCTCTTCAAATCGCGCCGGGCATGCCAGACGAGTACCGGTTGGTTACGGCCACCATGAAGTACGAGGCAACCAACAACACGGACTCGAAAGGTACGACAATTGTGTACAAATATAGAACGAAATCATTACGGACCGACAGGCCGACACGGTGTGGGCTACACGGCGTGCTACTACAACAAGAACTGCTTGACGCCCGGTGCCAACATGGCCGATATTCCGACGTCGGCGTTTGCAGCCCGCGGACACAAGTCGTGGTACCAAGGTCTCCGGTACGCCGCCAACAACCGGTGCACGCCCGACGCGACCCAAAAGCAAGAGCGGGCGTCGGTCGCCGCGGCGCAAAATGGTACGATCGACGACAACCAGTTTGACATCAAGACCATCAGCTCGGGCCGCGATTTGCACGCGGACCTCGGGCTGATGGACGGCAAGGGTCCGCTGCACTGGGGCATCAACTACAACGGCACGTGCTTCCCAATCGCCAACGGATACAAGGGCGGATTTCTCTGCGACCGTGACAGCCAAAACCCCAAGTGCGACGCACCGCGCACCAATGCGCAGACGCCGACGTCGATGATGGAGCCGTTCGAGTACCAAATGGACGCCATCTCGTCCAACTGGCCAATCAGCTACGAAGCGTACACGTCGTTCTACAAGTACCAGCTCGAATGGTACATATTGTCTCTTTCTTGGATGACAAAATCTATACGGGATGAATTAGGGTCACGGGCGACCATGGTTACGTTCGTTGGATGTTAGACAAGGCGCCGATCTTTGAAGTCCCAGCGTCGGCACTCACGTCGCCGCCCCAAGGCACACCTCGGAACCCCAAGAAGCTCATGATTGAAGAGCCGAGCTACTTTATCTTCAACGTGGCCATGTCGGCGGCATGGGGTATGGAGATTACATCACCTATTGATACGAATTCTGATATGCCGTACTTGGCTAGGTGCCATGCCACCAAACGTTCAAGTCGGCGGTTGCCG